GGTGTCAGTGAATACAGTTGGTTGTTGTTGGGATATTTGAAGTGTGATTTGTTGACATAGGAGCATTAGTATTCGAAAACTGATGGGTAATTCAAGTCTAGCTCCTTTTATCACAATGTTGAGATGGCTTCTTTGATTATATTGGATTATTATTTTGATTTAAACAGCTTGTTACCAAGGACAGCACTACACATGTCCAGTCTTGATTTTTTCCGGCTATCTCATTACGAAGGATCGTCGCTGAACATTTGCCGCGCCACTCCTCTCGATCATAATCCTGCTGAATTTTAATTCAGCTTCCGTCTGCTCCCATCAGGATAGCCGAGCCTTGCTCACGTCATAACTAACAGCACATCGTCATCTCGCTCCACGGAGTCCTGTCTGTCAGTCTATGCGAATCTACATCACCTGACAGACATAAACCAACTGTGATCACCTTATGGTAGACGGGAGCAGCTCGACCGTCCGAGTTCATATGGAGTTCCCCGCTCTTGGTGTACTCAAAGTCCTTGAGAGTTGGGGCAACTTCGTGCGTCACTGTAGAATGGAGATTCCGTACAGGCAGGACGCGTCTCGCCGGCACTCATTCGTGACCGTCGATGTTTGATGTCTCACTGCCAAACTGTCACGACGCGTAACCGTCACGCTGTCAAGCTGTCAAAATGTCAGACTCGTGGGCGGTGGGCAATGTCAGATACCGTTGCTGGAGGATGAGTTATGAAAAGATCTCCGAGACCTTGATATCTTTTGCATAAGGGTTAGGTCAGAGATCAGGAACCTTGATGAATACTTCTGGTTCTTCTTGCTCATGCAGGACTCCTGACCTTTGACATTGAAGCCTCGTACTTTTGACATTCGATTTACATAGACCCTGGCACATGAATGATGATGCTGGAGCAGAGTTGATCCGTTTTAGGAACAAGGTCACGTAATCGACTTATTATTGCGTCATCATGGCTAGCAGCCATATCAATCGGTTGGCTAGATAGTATATATTAGAAGACGGTTTTAGACAGAGGGATATTTACTTGAAGGCCTATGTAAGGAACAGAGGACCGTCCACTGATGCAGCCTGGTAGTTGTTCAGTCGCAGTTTTTTACCAACAGGCTGTCACCATACTGGCGTTTTTCGATTTATCATTGGTCGAATTCACGTTGTCTGTGCGGCTCATCAATGAGAGACCAAAAACGCCAATGAACTTCCATGTATGACAAAACCGGCAGCATGCTGATGAAAATCCGACATCGAAAACAGCCCTGAATTGTGTCCCGGGCGAACACTGACCAGCGCGGCCCGCGGCACAGTCTACCTGCAGGGCGCGACCGGTCACCAATTGCCCGAGGCGGCGAGGCCCGCAGGGACGCGGGCAGGGGTGCGCACAGGCCACACAGCGTTTCAGGGAAGTGGGCAGAGGAGCGCACAGAACACACAGCAACTCACAGGGACGCGCGGGCAGGGGCTAGCACAGGCCGGCAGACAGGTCAGTTTCGGTGGCGCCCCCAGGCAGGCACGTCAGGCAAAGTCATCACAATTTATGAGCAATTTATTAAGAAATTATGAGCTACACTGTTTTGCAAGTAAAGCCCAGCACTTTCTGTTTCGCTTTGGAATTTCAGCTATTCAAAGACCTGGAATAACTTCCCGATCTCACGTATGCACGGACGTGCGTGCTCCACTTGGGATTCCGTGAGGGTGTTTCCTCACATACCGCCTTTCAGTGTTTTTGTTGGCCATATCCAGTGAAATAGACACGCTATATCCTTATAAATACGCCGAGCGAGCATGCAAGTGTTACGCGTCGTAAGTCGCGTGCCCAGAACTTTGTCTCTGTGACGTTTCTACGTGACGTTCTGTTACGTGTCACACACTTGCAGGTCACGGCGTTATGTGCTGCGTCACGAGTATCCGTCACTTTCGTGACGGCTCGTGACCGTGACTCGGGTAAACGTGAGTGCCTTTCGGGGGCGGGCCTGCATTCCATTTGATTTCACGACATCCGCTCTTTGTTGTTCTTGGCTCTTGGCAACTGTCCAAAATTGTGGCTTTGGCACACTGCTATATCCAGTTTTATTCCCTTTAGCGAATGATATTTTAGCACGCATTCTCATTATTAAATATAGCTTTACTCAGTACAGCTGTGCGTGCAGATATGTGAACGAGTATTGACCGTCTAAATCTCATGTTTACAACGAGACGCCTTGCGGAGGCGCTAATACCTGCTCTTCTATGTAGACACCGTGGAGCCTAAAGATTCTTAATCTGCATGGGAACTTACCTCTAAGTGACCCGTTTACCATATCTCTATCACTCAAGAAGAAAAATATCCCTCGGCCTTTCAGATGTCCTTTCTGATAAAACTCGGCATTCTTTTCATCACAGTATAATCCTGATCACGGAATCACAACGTAATATATCCCAGTTTTATTTCATAATCATCTTTTCTAGCAGATGTTTTCGAGCAATGTGGACCCTAGGTCGTGCTTTTGTTCTTAGCCCATGAGAAAAGTTGCACAGGAATGCCTCATGTGAACGTGTTTTTTATGGCTTTATGCTATTTCTTGGGTCGACCTTGAGTGGCACGTGGTGTAAACGATTTATTCTTTAAGTATGGCACTACATGTGTATGATGATTTCATTGCATTTGTATGCGGATGTTACTCGAGTTGATAATTGGGTGCGGCAGCTAGTCACCGTATGGCTTGTAACTGAGCAGTGCACAGTGCCAAATTTCACACTTACTGAGCATCTACTCAGCCAAAACGGTTCATTGAACATCCTTGCGAATCCGCGCATGTTTGATTCAAAGTTATATGCCGTCAACTGTTATCAGAAATTGTATTTCAACACCCTTAGCCGGAGCCATGCGACGCAGATCGTATTTCATCATTAATAGATGGTATCACACACGATGTTATCAAAGCTAAGTTTCCCACCGTGCGTTCAAACTCGCTGGCCTTGCAAGGCTGTCAAGCAACGCTCGTTGTCTGTAACAAGCCAAATGCCTACTCGTATAGACCGGTCCTTGTCATGTTGCCACTTATGTGTATCGTACAAACAAACCATTCCACCAATTGGCATACGACAACTTTGACACTGTATTCAAACTATGTATGTACTGTACTTCTGTTTCATTTTAAAGCAATCAAGTCTTCTTACGACATCAATAAATATATCCTCTTCGACCATTTGTTGGGGCTTGCTTTGGCCTCGGCTTTACTCAGAATGGCGCTATATGGAATTCCCTCAGTATGCAGTTGACGGCAACCCTGACAGATTTGACGGCTCATTGCCTGCGGTTGGTGGCCGTCACGTCCGTCACGCGTCTGTCACGGGCCGTCACACAGTGGTCACGTGACATTTGACAGACTTAGAGAGGCTGGTGAGTGTCAGACTTACCTCAAATTATGTTGGTCACTTCCAGAGTTACCCAACAACCAACTGTCTTATCACTATGCAAAGTCTCACCTCAAGCTCTCTTATGATGGAAGGTGAGGCGTTTAATGTCTCAGGGGATTTGCTGAACCAAAGACGTTGTGTCAAGGATAGCACGAGCCTTATCCCGCATCTGGCATTCTGCTACGCCTCGCTGAGCTCGAGGTTATGCGTTTTTGCCGGTGAAACTCACTCCTTTGACTACGCAAAAGACTTCCGATTGGGAAATCTACTTCCTTTTTAGGTACCTAACTGTTAAACATTCACAAACGCTGTTTATGAGTTTCGCTGGTTGTCACGCTTTTCGGACACCGAGACTTCAAGCGCGTAATTTATCTTCCTTCATACACATCCATCAAAGCGTGACTGTGTTTTAGTGGCTGGCTCTCACCACTGTGTGAAGTCTTAGCGGCGCTGCGGCTTTCAGGAGAGGTTGGATGGAGTCTGGACCGTTGTCCACTGACGACGAATGGGAAATTTACCGTGAGATGTGTGAGTTTAGCGCTTGTGGGGAGCCTTTCCGTCGTCATAGCTCCTGTGTTCTCCGATCGGGCTGGAGAGAAGACGCCGCATTAAGTGTCTGCAGTAAATCGAACCTAAAAAGGCCTATCTTGTTATCACCTTTGTCGTCATGCATTCCTGGTCAATTGACCAGGAATGAGCATTAATGCTCACCAAGTCGAGTTCATATCAGAGGCTCTCAGATGCATGTTTCCGCCGGCGGACTGTCTCATTCTCAGTCCCCGGCTGAAAACTGAAGCCATTCGAAACTGCACCAAATATAGGCTAGACTTTTGAAGTAAAATAAAACCTATATAGGCTCTTATTACTTGACAGAATTTCTAATATCCATCCACCCAAGTCTGAAAGTGCAGTAAATAAACCACACATACGCCAGGGTAGATCACCCAGATACTGATGGGAAGTCCAGTCTCCGTCTAGGTCACATCACATACGCAGACCAGGCACTCCCCCAGCCTGGCTGTCAGCAGCCGCGCGGGCAGTGATGCGTGAAGCCACCGAGGCCAAGTTCCCATACTCGTGACCATTCGCTAAGCTGCTTGGACGCGCAGCGGGGTCGTGTCTAACGTTGGTGGCATTCCCAGAGTGTTCGGCGTGCTGGGGGGATGGGGGGGGGGGGTGAAGTGCGTGAGTGGGGTAGCGGCGGGATTTCTGAGCGTGGGTTGGTGGACGATGGGTTGAATGAACTGGCGTGGTCTGAATGTTTTCAAGGGTTTACTCCGGATGCCTCTGCACTGTGCAGTGCAATGCAGTGTGCAAGTGACATACCGTTGCCAATTTTTCGGTCCATGTCATACCAAGTATGTAAGCATAGATTGTGACTTCATTTAGTTAAACTTTTTATCTTCCTCCATTGCTTTCTGCTGTGTTTAATCTATTCTCAAAGACACGGATTGGAACTAAGGTTACTAAGGCTTGGCTTACTGACTACTGAGCGAGGTATAGTATAACTTCTTATGACGCTTTCCAATATAACCCCAACCAATAAAACTTCTTTATATCGACGCCACCCCTAACTCTCCCCTTCTCTCTGTCTCTCCCTCAGACTCGGTGACCGGCTGTGACCAGCCGGACTGCCTCACCTGCGACGAGGACCGACAGTGCACCAGCTGTGCACGTGCAATCGTGCACGGCACACGTCAGTGCGTCAGCGCGTGTCCCGGCAACTATCGGCTGGTGCACAGTGATATAGATGGCTACCACGGTCTTCTCTGCCGAGGTGAGTAGAAATGGGAGTAACGTCTAGTACCCACTGCACGGTGACGTAGTTGACGTAGTTGGTCGTAGTGACGTAGTTAGTGGGTCTGCTCTACCGGGGTGAGTAGAAAAATTAAATCTTGAACAGAATGAGGTTTAGTGCGTGATAATACGAAATTAAATCGTGACACTAGGCATGCCCGAAATTTGTCTGCCAGTTCGTTGCGTTACAGCCTCCAGGCTCCACGTGTCTTTCAGTCGTTCTTTTCACCACCTACATTATCTTATATTTATCACGTTATGCATAACCATAACCACGCCTTCGCTAGTCCATATCCCAGTCTCAATTTCAATGGTCACGTGGTCCATAGTCAACCTGACTTCAATTAACAGTTAACCTTGATCACTAAAATATATGATCCCTGTTGGTACCCATGAGAAATGCTCCACATGGCACGACTTCTCGCTAGGGTAACCCATTAATCATTCCTTGCACCACGATTGTCGTTCAAGCGCAGTTAGCGGCACATTTAACTCAAACTGACTGCTCCAATATGGCCGACCGCCGAACATCAAGCACTGATTGTAGGTCACCTGGGTGAAATTGCAGGCCATATTGCAGGCGGCGGCCTTGCTCACAAAGCCTCACGTACCTGAGCAAAGATAAAACATCCCGACAAGTAACGGTTTACCGTGATCTTTGACCTGTTTGCAAATGGCCACGAGACTGGCACGATCTCTCAAGGATGCTTGGCAGGCCTTCGAGGATGTCTTCCTCTGTGGGCATGTTTTAGTCCGTGTTTAGGTCCGGTTCCGAAAAGGCGCCGAGGATGATTGAAGATAATGAGAGAAATAAAAGTGAAAAGCATCCGGTGAAGCGCTTATGAATAATTAGACTAAATGTGCATGCTGAAATCGGAATAAAGTTCACCTGTGCAGGTATACGGACGTGTAAGCGTTTGACGTCATATTCTGTTCGTTTTTATAAGCGCTGTAATGCCACGAAACTATTTCTGTCACGTGTGCATTCCTCACATAGCTTCATACTAGTGATGTCAATCGGATACCAACTTTTTGGTATACCGATACCAAACCGATACCAAGTTGGTATTTGGTATTTCAATCCGATTGCTTTTGGTATTTTGTTGGTATTATGAACCCTTGCATGTATACAAGGTTGAAAACTCGGTAAAAAGTTGGTATTTTTCATCTTCTCAAGTTGGTTCGGTTTCGGTATTTACTGATGGTTTTGGTTGGTATTTGGTTTGGTATCGGTATTTCGATTTTCTGTAATTTACATCACTATTTCATACCATTCCTAATCAGATTATTACGAGACGCCAAAAGTGCAGGCTTTGGTGAAATAATTGCTCTCATTTTGTGTACTTACGTTTAGATGGAACTAACATCACCGTTTCCTGAATCATTCATACGTCAATACTTTGATTTTCATGTGAGTTCATGACTCATGCGAGTTACCTACTTTGATTTTATGTGATTTTCATGTGAGGAAGATATTTAGATATATGTGAGTGAGTTAGAACATGATAAGCTCTCCTCATTAATTACACGAAAGATAAATTTCAGCCCAAGATAAATCTAGTCTTCTCTTCCTCAACCCCTCAAATCGCTCTAAAATCCATATATTTTTTTTTTCTAGATCTTACGCCGGACACGAAATCGCATAAGTCATAACTGATAGCTCAAGGGTCAATCGGTAGCTCACAGATAGCTACCCGATAGCTCATCGGAAGCTCAGTAGTATCTCACGCCCGATATCCGATCACCTTCCGCTCTGTTCCCACTATCGGGGTCCCTCAGGTCATAAAGGTCATGGGAAGCCGCCTATGATCATTGCCAAACGCCGACCAGACGCGCCCCCAAGGCTGGCGCGAATCCCACACAAGCTTCCTAGGCTCCCACTGTGGTGACTGCGTGCCTTCCTGGTTGGAGAAGTGGCGCTTAAAGAAAGGCTTCCTAATTCCAATACATATAATCCTTATGCTCTTAGCTTGTAGTACTAGGTGTTGTTCGGGTCAATGATGCTGAATTCGTGCCGGATAATCGACGCTTGGTTTTTTTTAAAGAGATTAAAGGTGTCAAAGGCCTTCGTTTCAATGCGTGTAATGCTGAGTGAGGTCTTGTTTGAAATATGGGCATTGCGATTGCTGAATATGTTGAACGTTTTGCTGACTGAATGCGTTAGTTGCACCAGATTACATAGATACGAGCAACTGATACTGCATTGCGCTTGTGAATAATTTGGTTACAAAATATCACATTTCTGATTTGCAGACAAATTTTTCGCTAGCCTAGCTGCACTACATTCAATTTTTCTTTAAAAAAAAAAAAAACATTCAAATTTTCTTGGACTCAAATACACTTCGCTCTAGGATTCTCGCTAAGAATCGGACGCAATCGTGTTTAAACATCTCCACATCTTCCCGCCTCTTGCGGTGGCCGTGAGACAATCTCGTGACGATTTCGTGACTATCCCGTGACGCTTCCTTGAAGCTCCCGTGACGGTCCCGTGAGAAAACCGTGACCCGTGCGATAAGCTCCTCGCGCATCTCACGGAAACAGAAGTTCACTGTCGGCACGAAATCCGTTATGATGGCTTCGTATGCCGTGAGCTGAAGTCAGGAATTCATGATTCGTGAATAATGTAAAGGCGTGGTGGCCGAGCCGTGAGAAATATGCTGATGATGAATTGAAGAGTTACGATTTCTGTGGATGGGTTAATGCTGGTTTGGGTTCGAGGTTTTGCGAGGTGTTTTGTGGCGCTGGCTGATGGCTCATGTTGCTGGATGGTTATTGATTTGTACATCTCACCTTCAATACCTATTGGAGTAGAATGTTTGCTATTTTATTTATATCATGCATGGAAATTATTTATCCAGAGCCCAGTTTTACCAACAGAAAAATAGCCGCCTGCTGGATTTTTTTTTTTGCATAAAGACCGCTTCACATACGGAACGTAAACGGTAAAGCCCTATCCGCTAACGTGCCCAGCGCGTTTACGTGATGTGAGGCGGTCTTTAGATAAAGAATTCCGGCAAGCGGCTATTTTTCTGTTGGTAAAACTGGCCTCAGGCTCAGCTATGGAGACGTCACAGGCGAGCAGCATTTTATGGAATTTATGGAAGCCAATTTATTGAATTCTACAGCGACAACATGGCGAAACTATGAGATTATCACATAGCTCAGCCCCTAGCTAAGCCCATTGAGCGAAGGTGCTCGACGCGCGTACAAGTATTGCTCTCAGTCTATATAAAAACCTCAGTGCATGGGGCATTCTCGATTAGGGGAGGTCACTTGCGATGCAGCAACTTATCTATTATCTGGGCAGTTTTGAAGACAAATGAGAATTAGATGTTGCCTCATGGACTATTCTACCGTTCATGGTTGCTGGTCGCTTAATGAGAAGCCATTATTTTCAGACAAATGGCATTTTGCTAAGCATGCTTTGCGACATACTGCATGTAATCTGCAAGTGACTTTTGCGAAAGACGCTGCCACCGGAATGCTTCAATTAATGATGTTACCTGATATAGGCCATTTCTGCACAGCGGCATCTTGAATGACAGCCTTGCACGGCATATTAACATAGCAATTGTTGCCCGGGGGTGCATTGTCATATGCACAAGAGTAGGTAGCTGTGTAGTGTGTACCCAACCAATACGTGGGTTACCAACGTTGCGGGGTGAGCAAACCTTCTGCAAGTGCATTTGGAAGTCGGTCCAACTGTTCCCAAAATAGCAAAACCGAATCGAGGGCATTTCTAAGAAAAGGCACACCTAAGTAATAGTCCAGGTGTGACAAGTTGTGCACCTGTCATTTCAAGATAGCTCTGCAAGATACAACCACCATTTCATTTTCAATCTTCCACACGACTCTCACAGTTCTAGAGTGTTGTGAAAACAATAAAATCCGGCTCTAGATCTTAGATAAATTCATGGGTCAGTTACGTTTACGCCATTGTAGGCTTTGGCCAAGTCAACCTTTCTCAAGCTTCTCCACAGTAGTGAAGGGATCGATTTTAGAAACAATAGGCGCTCACCGCACAGCGTTGGTCAGCACCTGACCAGCTCTCTGGTTTCTGTCTTGCAACGTAGCTAGTCGATATCGCACACAACCCCAGGGCCCAATCTTACCAATGCCGTGAATAGGATCTGGCAGCACTGGCCGGAATTTATGGCACTGATATCAATGATAACCCTTTTATTTAAACACAGCTTATCTTGCCCAATGGTTTTGATAGCGACAGTGTTGTTGCCCGAACGAATGAATAAATGAATGTTGAATAGTTTTGAATGTTACCAAATGCCGTGAATGCGCATTCACGGCATTTGGTAAGATTGGGCCCTGGGCCCAATCTTACCAAATCTTACCAGGAGTTGCAAGCTTCCATATATAAGTTTCAACATACCATGAATGACGTCCGTGTGACTGATTCATTTTAAATGCGACTTATTACAATAATGCGCAAAAAAATCAACGGACATAAATTGCTCATATTCATCAATAATTCTAGCAAAGTGATACCGAGACTGAACACACCGTATACCTGACCCAGTCCGTTTTTGCGGGCTCAAACACACACCTGCCCCCGTGCAATGTGCCTCCGGCATTTGTTCGGATTTGAGCCCTAGTATCTGACCCTGTGCGTTTCTCCTCACCAGCTGGCCGGTTTCTGGACACAGCTGATATGACGACTGAAGAGCTGGTTGTGTTGGTGGCAGCACTGGTCGGTGCTGCCATATGCATCGGCGTCCTCATCGGCGCCTTTCTGTTCCTTCGCGTACGAAGGAAAATGGACCCGTTGACAGCAAGAATTGAAGAGAGCGGCACTGGTGAGTGCAGCTATTCAGGTGGGGCAGACAGGCCCGCGTTTGGTAGAACTAGTCGTAGATGGTAGCTTGGTGTTGTAACAGCTTTATCCTTGCCTGCTTACTTTGGGACATATTTTTTGGCCATTTTTCGTGTTTCGTGGACTATGTTGAGCTGTGTAGCTCAGCCATAATTCCGTAGATAGCGTTTCGCTTGGCAGCTAGAGCATTTGTATTGGCAGCGCTTTATTTTTATTTTATTTTTGTTTTTACCAACAGCTGCAGTCAGTCGTAGTGCATGTAGTCTTAAATTAAGTGCTTGTAGAAAATACTAATTTTGTTTCCCGTATCCTCCCTCCCTTTAGAAATGACAGCAGCCAGCGACTTCGAGCGAATCCAGTTCCTGACTCGCCTCCAAGCGCTGAGACCGGAAACACAGAATTTTCTGGAAATGCTGAATGACACGAGAAAGAAGTTTCATGGGAAGAGTAGCAAAGGAGGAGACAGCAAGGCCGACTCGAAGCACAGAGCGTACAGGTGAGGAGGCTGGGAATGGGGCATATGATACATGATATACCGGGTGGCCCAGAAAAAAACGTTCCGAACTTTGGAGGCCTATATATCAAATTCGAGTGCAAATAACGAGACAAAATTTTCAGCAAGTTTGCGTCATTTCTTTGCGCATTGGTATGCTAAATTATAACACTATACCATCATTTTCAAGCTGGCAATCTTGAGTTGAATTAAGCAAGACGTTTTTGTTTGTTTTTTTGCCGATGTCAAACGATAGTGATGATTGGGTTAGACGCCCCATGTTATAAAAAAAGAATAGAAAAATAGAGCATGTGAATGAAACCAACACGTATGTTCTTGTTTTAAATATTTGTGTCTCACTTATGTGCCAAATATTCAAATACTGAGCCAAAATGGTGCTCATGGATGCCATTCGTTTTAACACCAAATCATGATTCGTGGCACGGTGCATGGATTACTGCTGATTACCCTCCTTTCAGTAGATCAACCAGTAAATCGACCGGATAAGGAAAACAAACTAAAACAGACTAGTTCCTGTGCCAGAAGACCACATAACATTTTATGAAAAACAACATTGCCAGCAGATGACAAAAAAGAAAACTGGTTGAAAAGCTACCTTTTCCCAGGAATGTCAGCCAGGAAAGCATTTGAGCCACAAGATGGTTAGAAAACTGGAAACTTCTTCCGATGCCACTGGCACAGAGCCATCGTGGTTGCCTGATGGAATGTGTCATCCTGAGACCCGAACCATCAATGAGACTAGCTGCCAGTAGCAGCCATGGCTCTAGGCCGTGGTGCCGAGGGGTGAAAGTGACCTGTTCACTCACATTTTTGAGTAAACATCGGAGCAAAAAAGTAATTTTTACATGGCATGCTTGAAACACGAACCGTTTCAAAAGTAATTTACCGAACACCATGAAAATCACACCATTTACTGAAAATGTGTGCCGCATTGACTATTCGAAGTTTCAATGTTGTATCTTTATCACTTTCTGAGAAATATTGATTTAAAGTTGGGAACGTTTTTTCTGGGCCACCCGGTACATAGGTAGTTGGAAGCATATTCCATACACATTTATGGTTTGAGATGCCGTGCTTTGTTTTTCCGAATGAATTGAAAGAACTCGATATGCCCTTTTGATATGATTAAATATAGTTGATGGAAAATGTTGGCCACTACCTTCCTTCATTTTCTGGTCACTTCACTTTTATTTTTTTAATTAATGTTTTACTTTTAATTGAGCTGAACGTCACTTGTTATTAAGTAACCATTTGCAGCACCGTTTACATCCCCTGCACTTCACTTGTGGCATAAAAAGTGAAGACAAATATTTACGTGATGACCCCTTTTCTGAACCCCTTGTGACCTTTTTGACCTTTCCAGGTCAATCCTGCGCGACCTGTCTCGGATTCTGACGCTGCTGAACAGAAAAGAGGAGCAGATTCGGACGGTACCCGCAGACTGGCAGAGACTGCTGGGCTGGGCCGAACGGCTCCTGAAACGCTACAAACGACAGAAAATCTCCAAGGTAGGAAAGTACAGGGAGGGCTTCGAAAAACAGGCAGACAGATTTAATATGCTCTGCACTGTATGTTGAGCATGTTCTTCAAGTATTGTGTAAAATGCTGTTTTAAACTTTAAACAGCCTGGTTGTAGCACCAATGCGCTTGCGTCATAAAGTGATGGACTCTTGGATAAACTCATCCTCTTATCCTCTCACTCACTGCACTTTTGTCGGTGATCGGCTCAGCCCAAAGTCTCTCTTGTCCTCCCGTCTCACCCCACGAATCTGAAATAATCTCAGCCCTCCGAAAACCCCAACCCAAAAGCAAAAGAAGCTATGTTCCTCCTCTCTTACTTGTTTTTGTTTTGTCGTGCTTAGGTGCCTCATTTCGGTCTAGCTAGACCTTTACAGAGCTGGAATGGTCACAAGAATTAGGGGAAGATATTTGTCTAGCTGGCTGCCCTGCTGCGCCGCCGGGGCTAAGTCTCCTCTGTTAATCCGTATTCAGGGGTCCGTATCTCAACAAAGGACCACCAGCCTCGTCTTGACACACGATTCCCCGTTTTCCGACAGGAGTTTGGCTCAGCGCCTCATATCGAGTACCTGGCTCCCTCTGGCCACGGAGGGAGTCGTCGACCACGCTCCGCTGCAGGTCGTCTTCACTCCAACGGCAGCGTCCCTGCAGGATCACACTTCAGCATCAGCCAGGCCATCATTGAAGAGGATGACGAACTGGACGGCATACAGAGCCTGCCACCTATCGGGAGAGAGGAGAACCATAGCCGCACGGCGCCGACTCGTGGCGGCGCGAAGTATCGCAAGCATGAGCCGACGGGCAGACGTCGAGCAAGAAGTACAACTAGGCTTGCACCGGGAGGCTCACGAGCCCACAACGCTAGCGTGCCTACAGGGCTGCATCTGCTACCTGAAGAGAGAGCAGGAAAGCCGGTGTATGTCCATCAAGTGAACGGCGGCGAGGGAGAGGCGCTGTTCGTTGGAGATGCCTGGCCTCGACCGTCGGCGGGTAGCCTCCGCCCGGCCTCCAGCGCTCACAGTCTCACCGGAGGCTGGCCTGCCCCGCCCCGCTCCCTCCCTCCAGGGGGTGGTGAGGAGCACCCCCACCGCGGTCCGAGGCCCACCTACAAGGACTGGCCTCTGGAGAAGCTGAAACACATCCGGAGCGCACGCCAGGAGCGGGAGCGTACCTCCGACTTCACTGATACAACAACCGATGGGCAGAGCGGTCACTCGGGTGGGAGCAGTAACGGTATGCCTCCTCCACCCCCGCCGATCTATGGAAACGAGAGGACCAAACCGGCTGGAGAGAGTAAACTCGATAATAGCTTCAACGAGCACAGTGATTACATCGAGAAGGACATTGATAGCTTCAGTGGTCGCTATTTTCATGAAGAGGAACTGAGTACTGTACTGTAGTGAAGTGCTGAAATTGAATAAGGATGACATCAATGATGCGAAGGACATTGGTGTAGTGTTCGCTACATAGAAAAGAGAAGACTTTTGGTCAGTTAGGGATGCATTGTTGGCCAGAAGTCGTCACACTTTTCACCGTTTTATGAAATGTTTGAAGGAAATGTTCTGTGAATGTTCGCTATTTATACGATTTCATGACGTATCGACTGAGATTATTCGTGTAATTACGTCCTTTTCTCAATGTGGTATCTTTTGACGCAACATGTTTTGTCAAAGCTATGTATCACGATGAATACGTTTGGATACCACACTGCGGTAAGAGTGATTTCATAACCTGTCTATCTTCACTAAAAAAAGGCAAACTTTTATGACGCTCCCGAAAATATTGGCCAGGATTCCTTCTCCCCTCTGACAGGCAAACGCCTTGAGGAAGGAATAGATGGGCCAGTGGAATGAGGACTGTCTCGTTTAGAGAGCCGATTCTCCAGTGAGGACTGATTTGAACATCAGCAGTCGTGCCAGTGTACAACCCTGCCATCTAGTGGCCGATTTTGAAGTGCTATGTTGCTGCTTATCTCGTGTATAATAATAATAATAATGTTGTTAATCAACTATGTCTTGCGCCTGTGTAATAATTGCTTTCTGCTGTAAAAAGCTTGGCTGTTGTAAGAATGTGTCTTCTGTGAATCGGCGTCAATATGTAGTTAGTGTGCATTCTGGTTGATGCAATGCAGTGGTCTGATCGATGGCAACCAACCGTTTCACGTGGTGAAAAGTCTCTGCAATAAACTGTTTCCAATCGTGAATAGCCTTCGTGGTCGTGTGCAATGCTCTGCGAATCATGCTGAATGTAACGCTTCGGAACGCCGCACACGAGACGTGAGTGTATGTTCAATGGCAGCTGCAGAAAGCGGATGTCTCTACACGCTGTCAGCGTCCAATAAAAGCGCCGGTTTCTATACCGTTTGTAGTTTGATGTTCGGAATGTGTTATCATCAGCAGAGGACATTGGTATTCGACTCAGGCTTAACTACATGTTGCAGCTCTTGCTTCTATGTTAACTATGTTTGTAACGTGCTGTTCGAACCGTAATTGTAGCTAAACGTTTTTACTAATTCGGTTACGTATTTCTTTATTGTACGTGTAGTAGTAGAAAAGTCTGCCTTACTTTTTTTTGGTTTTATTACTAACACGTATGCTAGAAAGCACCGGTTCACCTATTCATGTGCATATACCGGTCATCGCTACCGCATACGACTTAACGATAATAGCCAGTCCACCACTAAACACACAGATAACGCATTTTGTGAGCTGCTCGTAAATACAAGTTAATTTAATGTCAATACCGCAGACATCTTGCTGCGTAAAGTAGTTAGTCTTAAATCAAATATACACTGCCATTTATAAACTCAAACTACAAAAGCTGACTAACCGCACTACAACTAACAACTAAGGCGTATCTTCAACACGTCTACAGTCGAAGCAATCCAAAACGAGCATGATTTAGCCTGACTCGGCCTTTAGCCTGACAAACATAATACAGCCCAAGGGGTTACGGTTCTATGCTGCCACATAGGGAGGGCTCAGGAGACAGATGACGTCACGAGGTGTCAAGGTTTTGTCGAAAGACTGCTGTGCAGTAAATTATCTTTTTTAGGCTCTAAGGGAGCCTGAAGGTGAATATCAAAGTGCCTTAGAGTATAAAATCCTCGGAAGATTAATATTGGCGAAAATGGGTAGACACCCGCTGACGTCATCTGTCAAGGTCACCGATGTAAACAAACGGCTAACCGTTCTACCTCCTATATATGGCCTTGATACAGCCTACCCAATCTTTAGATGGACACTTTGCGGCACATGTAGAGGTCAGCCTCCCTGTCTTCCTGTAGTTGTGGCGGGCACATGTCCTGACAGAAGGGTGGGAGGTCACCCACGCGGATCGGATGGGCACATTCAGTCGGAGGCAGCTTCTTAGCCAGACAGATGTACGGAGCCTTCTGGTTTCCAGAGTTCTCGTCGCAAAACTTCATGCTCTGTAAAAGGGCGTGGTATCTAGTTACCTAGTTCGCTAGTTAGTCAACTAGTTAGCAATCTTAGGATCTTTATGACGATTGATATTGGCTTGCCTTTATCTCTGGTTTCGCTTTTATCAAACTTAAAGTAGTTCCATGACATTTACATGAACTTCGGTCGGACTGTATTTATCGAGATTTTTTTTCTTCATATGATTGAGGTATAATAAGATATTTTCTCAATCATGAGAATACAGCATTCCTGAGCCTGACCTGCGGAAATCTACCTACCTAACGTAAGAATGTCAAAAGGTAGAAGCTTTTGCTTTAAAATGCTGCCCCGATTGAGAACTGGTCAAAGAGGTCATGCACCTATGCTCGTTATGGCATTGATCTTTCAGCTCCTTGACGTGAACGATAAAGAAAAGCCTCGAAACCACGTTCATTAAACCCGAAAACGCTTTGGCGACACCTTACCTTGATGTATTTCAGTTGCATACCCTCCAGAACTTTCTCCAATATATCCTTCACCACAACTTCTTCCCCGTTTCCAGACAGCGGAGTACCCTGCGGAACTGGTGCAACCAGTACCACTAGCAACAGCAATAAGCACAGGCGGTGCCCCTTGAGCGTCGCCATATTGCCACGAAAGAGTCGTCAACAAGAATGCCTCAGGCTATATAATCTCCATGCCTGTATAATATCTGTTCGAGGCGCTACTGCGAGCGTCGATCAACCAATCAGCGAGGGGAGATCAGTGACGAATGCCGGTGAACAGTCAATGGAATTCGATACTGGATTCCAGGGGTACATGACCCTTCTATTGCTGCTGACATATGCACAGAGGTATGTTCGAACGTTTGAGGGCACGTTTCTGGTGACGCACTGGCCAATGTATGACCTTGAACGGAAATCACGCGTCGGCACGTGACCATTTGCCGAGAGAGCGGACCGGAAGTTGGGGTTTCCGGTGACACGGAGTAGCCGGATATCCATTCAAAGTCGACACGATTTTTTAGTGCCACCGTGGATCAGCCGCTTAGAAGGCTAGGGATTTGGCAGTTGGCAAAGAAATTTGAAAGATTCCTACAAAGATAAAAATAATGTCAAAATAGCTGCTGGAAAACTTCGAAACCAAATAAACAGATGCATGTTTTCTGAAGAAAGATTTTCTTTCGTTCTATTTCCGATGCGGTATGCTAATCTGTCACCATGCTTCAAAGCACACACCCCATCCCTTTCCAATCTCATCTGTCAAACCGCACTGCATCACTTGTGGTTTCTGGCTTCCCATCTGTTGGCTGTTTGCCCCCTTACCCCACACAGGTGTTCTCAGGTGGGGCGATGTCACACCTGACTCACTTTCGTCACGCAAACAGTGATCATTGGTCGTGTGCGACGATCGTCGTGTTCGACGACTTAGTCGGTGCTGGTAACGACGCGAGTGGAGGTCAAACGACTGGTGTTGGTGCTGCTGAGGTGCTCAGACGCTGCCGTGATGGATTTCAGAAGCTGACGTGAGTAAAATGTAGGATGTTTTGTGTAATCTACGAATTATACAGCTGTCGACAAAGCACCGTTGACTATCATGTGAAACGGGCTTGAATAAGGTGGTCATAAATTATACATATAATATTTTTAACTTTGATGCTTGTGGTTACTATTTTATGCATCAAAAGACAAATTGACTTCTTTGTATCGCAAATCTATGAAGCAATTAATACCGATGAGATACGTGTTGAAGGAGCACATGTGTATTGTGTATGGGCACAATCGATTCACGCACGAACAGGACTCACGTAAATAACCGACATGCAAAGCTCATTTTCAGCGTCATTCACCAAATAACCGGCATACCAACTTATTTTTCACGTCATTCACATGCTCGAAACGTATTAGATGATTACTTTGAACTTGTCCATCTTTTCAGGACAATGCTGCGCACTTGATTTCTTCCCTGTGTAGTGTATGTCAAAGAAGCCCTGTAATCGTGGCAGTGCCACACCTTTGTGCATCGTCCCACAGCCGGTACTTTCCGACTATAGTGACAGATATACAAAAGCTGGGTGTGTTTGAACAGGGAGAGCTTGTTTGGTTACATACACATTATTAGTATATAGATGTTCGGCTGATAAGGTGCACCTTATAGGCTTGAACCACTTCTAAGGTTTCGAAACTAGCTAAATGGCAAACGTTCAGAACGAACTTGTTATCAAGCGCATGTCTGGCTAAATGGGCAACGATAAAAAGCAAGCGGAAATAGATAATAAAACCACACCCTAATTACGTAACAACCATTTGGCCTAAATGTTAGCCAAACAAAGACCAGTCACGTAAATAACAGTCACGTAAATAACATGCCAGTGCCCTGCGAGACCCTCACAATCGTCCTGCCAGCCATCTCGCTACGATGACAAGCAGGAACTATCATCTGTCCACAGTGTGATATAGCGTGGGGATTTCGGACACCTCTCACACAGCTATCTAGGAACGGAAATTTGATGACGGCCTCCGTGAGAGTACCTAGGGCGGGGAGAGCTGCAGCGCTGGGACGGAAGTGGCGCACGACGGCGCTGCGTTTCGTCAGAGTGGTCTGATAAAAAGTCCTATGTGGTGAGGCGTATGTTTCGACTTACCAAATAAGCTGTCCATTTTTCATTTTTATGCTTTTTTAAAACAAGAGCCTTCGGAAACAATATTTTGATTACAGATGGTGGTCGATGGACACCGTTTGCAGATCCGTAACTAGGTCGCCTTTTCCATTTACCTTCATTGCGGTAAGAATTCAACAATAGGCAAACCGGTGAACGAAAAACAAAGTGCGTTTTATGAGCAGTGCATGTTGTGCATGGGAATGTTACACCTATGTGCTCTTGCAAACTGATGGCCTTGCAGAGAAGAATGATGGCCCTTATGTGTCTTTGAGGTTAAAGGGTACGTTTCAATCTCAGCGTTTTGATATTTCAGAGTTACTGGGCGCAAAATGACCTTAGTAGTCGGCACGCCGTAAAGCCCCAATTAACAAACGATATTTCAGAATTTGAATCATAAGGATAACTAATATTCGAGATAATTGAAAGATGTAAGACTGTGTTTGACATGGGCGCAAAATGACCCCGCAGTCGGCGCGCCCCTAACCCCCAACAAACAAACAAACTGTTTTTGACAAAGTTTAGCGACCAACTATTATCTGAAACAAACTGACTTTATATTTTAGGCTTTTTATGAGCTTTCGAACGTTGCCTGCTGCATGCCATCTCTCTAGACATGGTCAGGTAATTGAGATTGAGGAGGAAGTGTTCAAATGCCCCTTTAGAAGAATGTCGAGGGCCAGACCCTTCAATACTCGTAAAGTGTGGAAACCAATCTCCAGAGGTTGAAATGGTTAGGTGTTAGTGGCCAGTCATTTTTTTCCTGAATCCGTTAAATGCAGCGCAAAACAGCAGCGATAGATGTGTGTTTATGACTCAACAGAAATATGAGCCCTTTAACAAATTATCGATTTTTTTTTGTCGGTGAGGGCTCAAGGCTAGTATGACTGGTAGAAATGAAAGATACTTTTTAATCGAACCTTTCTGGTTGTGCATATAACTATTGCCGACTATTGCCAGATTCAAACAGTGGAAAACCACTAGCAGTAAAACGGCCAGCAGCAGTTGCAGGAAAAGCGTCGGCAGCAGCAGCAAGGACAGCAACGACGACAGCAGCAATAGAAGCAGGTGATTCAAGCTGCGAGCAGGCAGTTGCAGCAACAGCAGCTACGAAAGCTGCAGCAGCTGGCAGCTGCCTTTGCAGCGGCAGCGGTGGCAGCAGCGGCCGCCTCCCCTCTGGGTGGGGTGGGACATCCACCGCCTGACGTGTGGCAGAACCCTGAGAAGCCAGCAGCTGGTGCTGCGATACCGGGCTCCGATTTAAGCACACCACTGCGCCGCATCGGTCTCACTCCGAGACCAGTGTGACAATCATGGCGCGTCTCTGTCTGCTGATGCTGGCCTGTGTGGCCTCGGCCCTGGCTCTTCACCGGTAGGTGGGATCAAGGACAGATTTGACGGTTAGGATTTGGGATGGTGAATGCATGATTTAAGGACGCTTGCGAAGAGCGGTGTATCAATGATGTTACGCAAAAGTCTCCTCCAAGTGGGTGACTGTATTCGGTTTTTTCTATTTTCTACAAGCACATTCAACCACTGCAACCAAAAGGTGAAGCTTTCGCTGTGGTTTCGCTATTAATTTATTGAAATAAAAGATCGATGATGAAGTAACTTAGGATGTGTTTATAATAAAACCTTTTCAAAAGGTCCGCACAGTTTGCGTGGTCCTAATAACCAGGTCTCTAGCCGGGGAACCACTCCATGCCTATCTCAGCTGAATAACAGACATGCAACAGTCACACAGTTTAACAGCCGTCTAACCACTTCCACAACACTCTCCAGGGTGCCTCTGAAGAAGCACGAGAAGCCGAGGAACCTGATCAGGGCCACGAATGCCGGCCTGAACAGGAAGTACAAGGCCCTGGGCAACGGCACTGATGAGGATCTCAAGAACTACATGGATGTAAGTGATGGCATCCGTTGAACTAAGCGTAGTTTTCGGTGGCGTAGGGATGATACAGGCCCGAATATTTCAGATTTGTTAAAGGTTATAATCAAGGGTCCCTATGGTCAGAGTGATGCCGTGATTATATGTAATGCTTTTTAAAAATAATAACGTAATGGATAATAAATAACTCGAGATTGAATAGCACAACACCTTGCCACACACAAAATGTCTCTATTTAGAGAATACTGATCAATGCTCACTCAAATCTGCCATCTGAACTAGCTGTAACACCATTTTTTTTTCTTTTTCTCAGGCCCAGTACTATGGCCCGATCGATATCGGTACCCCTGGTCAGACCTTCACGGTCATCTTCGACACGGGCTCCTCCAACCTGTGGGTGCCCTCCATCCACTGCAAGATCCTCGACGTCGCCTGCCGTGAGTGTTGTATTTGTGTATTTGTATTCGTTCTGGGGGATCATTCAGGTAAATGATTCATGAGTTTACATAAATGAGGTTTGGGCTTTGCTCACCATCCTTCAGTAGCTTGATTGGACAGACCTAAATTAATGATTTTTTTTCGGGGATTCGGCATATTTTTCTTGTAATTTGTATGCATTTCCTGAGAAACACATCGCAATATGTTTTTTTTATATGCGTCAAAAACGAAACATTTTTAATTATTTAGCACCGGTTACCGGAAGGAAACTATCTTTTGTGCGGGAGAGTGTGAGGAATGTAGGCTGTGCCGCCGTACTCGCGAGCATCCGGCACAGTATACCAAGACGTCTGAAGTCTGATTGCGTCTGCCTCGACATTCTAAAGGCATGTTTGTCTCCGGGTCAGACGTTCGTCTTCAGAGTTCCACTGCTACCACATCACTTCCATTCTTTCCACGGACATCCACAGTGGTAACCTCTCCAGTATAAGCTAACATTATCCGACTTCCTTTTCAACTGACTGCCATATACGGCCACAAAATGTAGGCATGACCAAGGTTATGACTCTTCAAAAGATTACTTTTTATTTACAGTTAAATACTACCCACAGACGTCCATAAGTTACTCTTCTCAACTTCTGAGTTCTGACTGTCTTTTCCACATCTGTCCACAGGCGTCCACAACAAGTACGACGCTTCCAAGTCGTCTACGTACAAGGAGGACGGCACAGAGTTCTCTATTCAGTACGGATCTGGAGCTCTCTCGGGCTACCAGTCTATCGATACCGTCACCGTGAGTAACGAAGAATAATGTTATAATAGGGGAATGCGTGAGAGAGGTTATAGAGGAATGCGTGAGAGAGGTTAGAGGATCTAGCAGGGAGAGGGAAAGTGTGAGAGACTTCAAGCTGGCAAAAATGTGATGTCAACTGAGATTAGGTATAGGTTGATTTGAGTTCAGACTGACATGAAAGGACAACGGATGAGATGTGAGTGATAAGCGAGGGAGGAAAAAGGGTGAAAATGAGATATGACGTTCTGCTAAGCTCTCCATTAGTGATGTCAGTTACAGAAAATCGTGATACCGATACCAAACCAAATACCGTCAATAACCATAGGAAAATACCAAAAATGCCAAAACCAAAGCAACTTCAGAAACTGAGGGAAATACCAACTTTTTACCGAATTCAGAGCTTCTTTTACATTAGCGACGATTCACAATACCAACAAATTACCAAATGTATTAGCCTTGAAATACCAAATACCAAGTTGGTATCGGTTTGGTATCGGTATACCAAAAAGTTGGTATCCGATTGACATCTCTACTCTCCATGACTCATACCGATTGGGGTGCTACACTACTCATCACCAATAACAGCTCCTTTTCTAGCCGCATCTTCATACCTCTCATCATTTCCCAGGTCACCTCTCTGGCTCTTTCTTTCTCCCTGAGGTCACCTCTCTCACCTTTCCCTCCTCCCCCCCCTCTAGGTAGCCGGCCTGGCCATCATCGACCAGACGTTTGCCGAAGCTACCTCGGAGCCCGGCCTTGCCTTCGTAGCCGGCAAGTTCGACGGCATTCTCGGCCTGGGCTACGACACCATTGCCGTCAACGGCGTGGTGCCGCCGTTCTACAACATGGTCAGCCAGGGACTGGTCGAAGAGCCGGTGTTCGCGTTCTACCTGAACCGGTGAGTGGGGACGTCGGGATATATTGTCTGTGGCTTCTATGTAGACTTCTTGGATATTGCTTTATTTCAAGGTTTTACGACTAGACATTATAATTCGATGTACGTTTTTTTCGGCTACTAGTCGTTTATTGTTTTCGGAAACGAAAACAATTGACGACTAGTAGCCGAAAAAACGTACATCGAATTCAAGGATATTGTTGTGATTATTGTTATGGCTGGTTTGGAGGGAGCATCAGTTGAGATAGGCATCGCAGGTAGATTTTGTATGAGAGATGTTGGGCCTCTGGGACATCCTATAGGTAGTGAATTATTTTTTTCCCCGTGTTCATCACTAATCTTCAACAATTATCGTTCGGTGAATCGCAGCTATGACCAGAGTAGCCTCCGACTTCCGAGTACACAGCAGTGCCACCCCACCACCGACAATGACCTCTGAATATGACCTTTGACCAATAACCTCCAATGCTGCTCAATGCTGACCTCTGACCTCTGACCCGCAGTGACCCTGAGGCGGAGCTGGGCGGTGAGCTGACCTTCGGAGGTACTGACCCCAACTACTACACCGGCGAGTTCTCCTATGTGCCCGTCAGCCGTAAGGGCTACTGGCAGTTCAGTATGGACGGAGTCAGCGTTCCCGGCGCCGAGGTACGCCGCGTGACGTCACTGAATGGTTTTGATGACGTCATTGGAACGTGCTACCTTTTGAATGCGGATAATTGTTCGTGTATTTTTGTTCTTTTTTATTTTGAATTAACATTTATATAAGAAAGAGTTGATGCTTTCACCGACGTAGCGCCAGTCAACTACTTTATTTGGTCTGTTTCGTGTCTATGTTGGTACGTGCTCTTTTCACGCATTATACTGTTGACTTGTTGAGAGTTGAGACCGACTTTGTAGTGCAACCATATATTCTGACACAATCTGATTTGCTCCACCGTGAACTGACCCGACCCGATCCAACCTACATAGTTTCACCCGCCCTGACTTCATCCCACCTTACCTGACCTGACCCGAGCTGAATCGACCTGACCTGACCCCACCTGACCCAGTCTGACCCATCTCACGTTCTGTCGTCAGAGTGAGATCTGCAGCGGCGGCTGCGAGGCTATCGCCGACTCTGGCACCTCTCTCATCGCTCTGCCTTCTGAGGACGCGCGGACTATCAACCGTGCCATCGGTGCCATCCACGTGCCCCTCACTGGAGAGTGGCTGGTGAGACTGCCGGGGTCACGTGGGGGTCACGTGGGGTTATTCAGGTCACCGGGGTTACCGCTGAGTTCAGAGTCATTGGTCATTTCCTTACCAGCTAGGACTGGCTGTTTAAGTTTAGACCTAAAGAGGCGGTAGCTGGCAAAGAGGGAATTGAAATAACGCCATAATATGCATTTCAATCATGACTTGAGTGTAAGGAAAGTTAACTCGGAGACTTTGGAAATCACTTATTACGGAGCGAGCGAAGCGAGCGGAGTCTCATACTGAATTAAGGGAAAATCTTGAGTATGAGCGGCCGGCCGGCCGGCCGGCCGGCCGGCCGTGGGGACGCTCTTCAAAAGCTAATATCTTAGGAACGGGACATCCGATTGACAAGCGGTCTTCTTTACTGAACGTCACTTGGACGTAAAAGTTCTGTGGTGTGATGGCCACCATGCGTTCTTGCCAACCACCGCACGTGGCGCGTGGTAAAGTTGGACATTTTTTAAGAACCCCCAAAATTGCAACCTCAATAACGGCACAACGGTTGGGCCGATTGAATTGAAACTCGGTACACAGTTAGGTCTCCATCAGATAATTCATCTGCATGTGTTAACACGCGCACTGCAGGGGGGGTTGTTTTCAACCCCCCCCCCTGTGGTTTTTCGCAAATTGCGAGAAAACGGCGGCGCGTAGCGCCGCCAAATTTTGCATACCTGTTCTCACAACTTTTGCACACCTTGAGTAAAAATTTTGACCCCAGGTGACCTATGGTCAGGTCACCAGGTCAGGTCAAGTGACCCTACCTCGAAACGTAAATTTCGAAGTTTGGAATCCCACCAAGCCCACAGTTGTTGAGATATGATCTTGAAACCCACAGGAAATAGTAAAGTCATCACGAGCTACAACTTGTATATCTCGGAATTTTTATATCGATGACCTAAGGTCAGGTCATTTTTGCGACCGGCCCATTATAAGTCAATGGGAGAAATTTCAACTTACTCTGAATGCCATCCTATGACTTCAATACGCTCAGGATCATAGTATTACAGGTCCCTGTTGGTGATTTCACCGAAACATATCACTTATGACCTTTGGAAGGTGATCTCCAGGTCATCTTAGGTCACCTGAGGTCACCAGCGGTTTTTCTTCAATAACTTGAGATTGAGTAGAGATAGAGACTCCGTTCGACGTTTATCGTGTTTTTCTCGTCAATGCGGATCGAATGATATGCAACATGACCTATTTCGGTCAGGTCATGACCTTGACCTGAGGTCAAATTTTCAACTTGACCTTTCGAGGTCATATTATATATCATTCGATGCGCCTTGACGAGCTAAGAACGATGGCGTTCGAATCGATCCTCTGTCTTGTGTGCAAGACAAGTTATTCAAGAAAAACTACCGCGAAATTCCTGTTGTGAAAATCGTAACATTTTGTCTTCGGTGACCTCTGGGGACCTCGTTTTTTACCTGACCCAAAAATGATCTTAGTATTTCTTGTCGATCTCATCTTAACCTATCCAACGCCGTTTACCGCTTGTCGCTACGTTGCGCCGTTTTCGAGATCTCAGGGGGGGTTGTTTTCAACCCCCCCCTGCAGTTCGTGTTCGGCTCAGACCCGCTGCAGTGCGCGTGTTAAGGTTGGGGTGCTACAGCACGTGCGCACGTGCAGGGGGCGCTCCCAGATCTCGAGAACGGCTGGGCCGATTGCGCTCAAATTTGGTACACGGTTGGGGACCAGTTAGTAGGGTGCCGTGCAAAAGTCAGTTTGGACCCCGCTTGCACGTGCGCACGTGCAGTGTGCCGCTTCCAGATCTCGAGAACGGCTAGGCCGATTGCGCTGAAATTTGGCACATCGCTAAAGACCGGTTAGTAGGGTGCAGTGCACAAGTTAGTTGGAGGTACCCCCTCGCAATTTCGCACGTGCAAGGCCCATCCTCTCGCTCGCTCCGTTGGTCGCCCAAAAGGCGTTTTACTGGTTTTATTAATCAAATTCAGCATGCTTTCGTTCCTTATCTCTGTCTGTCTGTCTGTCTGTCTACCTGTCTGTTCTGTCTGTTTGTCTGTTTGTTCTCTCTCTCTCTCTCTCTCTCTCTCTCTCTCTCTCTCTCTCTCTCTCTCTCTCTCTCTCTCTCTCTCTCTCTCTCTCTCTCTCTCCCTCTCCCTAACCACACGACCCTCCCTCCTCAGGTGATCTGCTCCGACATCCCGACCATGCCGGCCGTTACCTTCACCCTGGCCGGCAAGCAGTACGTCCTCGAGGCAGAGGACTACGTCATCCAGGTAAGAACACGAAACTCGAAACAAGAAACTATGCGTACCACGCCTAGTTGAGCTTTCACACTGTAACTCAGGTGTTTATCTTTGAGTTTTTAGATATATTTTCTGTTATATTTATATTAACCGAGATTTAGGTGTGATCCAGTAATTGAGGTCGTTAAAGTGATTTACTGTTCATAGTGTTGCTGTTGTGCTAAGGGAAATATTCATCTAATTATCGTAAACAAGACGCTGGAATGTTGTTCATAATTTAATCACTTTCTGAAGCTTCAATTTTAATCACAATATATGATCAGGATAGATGCTTCAAACAAGTTAAGTATTCTTCAGTTCTCAAGCTGCCCACATGAAAATCCTTCTCACTGGATCTTCTTGCTCTAAAGCAGTATCCTGTCGTTCGTTCGCAGAACACGCAGGACGGTCAGACCCAGTGCATCTCTGGATTCATGGGCATCGACATCCCCGGCAACCCGCTCTGGATCCTGGGTGACGTCTTCATGGGCAAATACTACACCGTCTTCGACCTCGGCAACGACCGCGTCGGATTCGCCGACTCCGCCTGAGATGAATGTGGCGCAGCTGGTCACAAATGTACCGTGCTGTGAATTGATGTCATACAACAGTTGACGGCGAAGGAAGCGGAAGTGTTGGAAAGGAATGTGCTGTGCAATATTGCACAGAAATACAATGTAAGAAGGAAAAGTGTTTGCTCTGGGAGTTGGCATGTGAATAGTATGCATCCTTCACTCTTTACTTTAAAAAGATTTTATTTGATCATATTCGAATAAAAAAACAAAAAAAACTGCACGCTACTTCCAAGCCTTCTGAAGCTTTTGCGCAATAATTACTCCACCAAAGTAAGTAAAAATATGGGACACCAGTCCTCCCTCTTCGTTGGAGCCCGTCGCTCTCTTCAAAACTCCCAAAACATATAGTGAAGATATCGAAATATCTAATCAGCTACTGCTAGTTGATGGGGCTTAGCTCTTATAAGTCAGACACATGCCGTCTCCCAACAAAAAAAGTGTATCCGCCATCTTAAGCGATGTAAATGATAACGATCCATTAGATGTAGTTGCGTTGTCTTCCAACCTCCAAAAGCCCGTTTATGCGCCGTCTTTAGTAATGTAGATGCTGATAAAACTCATGACCTTCAGCACTATTACAGACATGGAATCAAGAAAATTTAGTGTTCCTTCGCTGACATTTTGTGGAAAAAAAAATCCCTTGATATTCATCAGAATTCCAACTTGGTAGATAAATAGTAAATACACTCCGTATATTAAAAATGGTATGGTAGATTGCAAAATTGCTGCTATCACCAGTACACAAGAACTTAACAACGCCATTTGGCATTGTAACCCCCCCCCCCCCCCCCCGACACACACTTTAACAATTTTTTATAAGGACCAGGTTTTTTTGTAATAAATATCATGATATGAATATTTGTGAATGAAACTTATTTTAAGTGGCATCAAATTAAAGAAGCTGACTTTTAATGGTTACATTACATATGGAAACATTAAAAATAGTCAACAAACGTATCCTAAGAATAAGTCTTTTTACCGTATCCTAAGTCCTTGTGCTCTGCCTGCGTTTTACCGTATCCCTTGAGCCATACGCCTGAGTTTTGCCGTACCCCAGAACTTCACAATAGTTCACCGTATCAAGGAGTAGGTATGCGCAATATGAGTATTGGATAGTTCATAATATCCCGAGAGAGCATTCGTATTTCACCGCTTAGCTGTATACCGAGAACCCGAGCATGGACATTGAGTTGTCCCTCAATGCTGATAAAACGTACTATCAGCTATATGGTAATCAACCAACAAACTGTGAACTAAGAATTCAAATTGATGGTGCTAAAATTACTCGTGCAAACACTGTTAAGTACCTTGGTGTATTTATTGATGATGACCTTAAAGGTAGACTGCCACCTTTTTTTTCACAAAACGGTTTTCACTAGAGCTGAGCCACCTATGTCCCAGACTGAAGTCGGTTTTCCGAAATTCGAACCCGTTTGCGAGAAATCGGAGACCAAAGTTCAGTTTGATGCCATTTTTTTAGTCCAAGAAAACCGACATCTCTACTGTTTATCGATAACTTTGAAACATGAATTTTCTTATCTTTTGGCAAATATATGTCAAAACTTTGATTGTTTCGAGATCAGAGAAGAATTTTGGAGTGTCAAAATAAAAGTTAAACTTATATATTCAGTAGTTCATTTTTTCAAAAAAGTGTGGGAAATGGGGTTTAACATGGGCCAGACCCAATCCAAATAAAGCCATGATTTTTAAATGTTTTACGAAGTTAAATGCAAAACAAATTAAACATGGCCAATTTCTTATGAAATCATATATTAGTAAATCATAAAATACCTTACTTTTTCAAATAAAATGTAATAATCTTATGACCTTGAAGTCTAGTGATGTGTAAACATTGTCGCTAGACATTAACCGATTGATAATTGTATGATAATCGATATTTTTTTCGCGATTCACGTGATGATACTTTGTCAGGTGAATTCTAAAATTTTGTTTTGTCCAGGGAATCAGGGCTGCGGAGTCGATGGATTTTCGGCGACTCCGACTCCGACTCCGACTCCGGCTTTCAAAAACCAGCTCCGACTCCGACTCCGACTCCGGGCAGAATTGTCGACTCCGACCGACTCCAACTCCCGACTCCGACTCCGCAGACCTACCAAGACTGCGGAGTCGACAGATTTTCGGTGACTCCGACTCCGACTCCGGCTCGGGTTTCTAAAATCGACTCCGACTCCGACTCCGACTCCGGTCACAACTGTCGACTCCGACCGACTCCGACTCCGACTCCGACTCCGACTCCGCAGCCCTGCAGGGAATAAATCATAGGCCGATCTGAGAAAACTTTTTGAAGGTGGCAGTCTTCCTTTAAGTGGAAAACACACATAGCTAAACTCCAAATAATATTATCGAGAAATATCGGAATAATGAATAGGCTCAAATATCTTTTGGGCACAAAACACCTTTTGGTACTGTATCATTCTCTTTTCCTTAGTTATATTAACTACTGCTGCTTCATTTACACAAATACATACCCAACTAGTTTAAATGAATTAGACAAACTTCAGAAACGTGCTGTAAGAATAATTATTGTCACTTGCACGGGCCGATCACTAGGCGATTACCGTCATTTAGGAGGGCGGCTCAAACTCTGTATTGCCCTCAAAATAAAAGCTGTCGGGCCAATAATGGTCATTATCCGCCCGACAGGTCATTAGCGCCCGACAGCTCAAATATGTTCAAATATATATTCTCATATGAATACCACAAATTATTTTAATGAAAATTGCGGTTATTGCAACTGAAAGAAGTAGGCGGTTCTGTACAAACAGTTTTTGATTTATATTTTATTTACAATACTTGTCATAGACCGATGCACGACCGATTGCACATTTGATGCGTTTTCGCTATGTAATCGTACGGCGTACCTATCCTTACGCGTGAAAGTTCACATTGATAACGCAAGACCCGTTGAACGTTGCATTCGGGAGCAGTGACGACAGAGCTGTTCTCGCCGTTACCAGTTGCTGGCTTTGACGGACTTCCGATGGGTCAGGCACCCGATGTTCCTGTTCGTTCATGTTCAACCAGTCATCCACTTCCATCCCACCGATGGTCAGATTAAAGTTGGGCTTTTCTTCGCACAACCGTCGTGAGGTAGCAGGCCCTCCGTTCTGTATCACCGTGGCGCTGCACCCTGGGACTACACTTGCGGCTGTGTCGGACTGCCTGGTCATCGTTTGTGCCAATATCTCAGAGCAACGCCTTTTTTGAGGAACTGACATGTCGTCAATGTAATGTGAAAGGCTTGCGGTCCTTTTGTGTTTTGTTACTTTAACGATATCTTCAGCTGCCACTCCAGCTTGATGCAATGTCGTGACGGTGGTGGCACGAACGCTATGACATGTATAGCGTTGTGATAGCTTAGCGCTATCAGCTATCCTCTGCATGATTGTTGACAGGCTGTTCTTCCCCATTGCTTCGTTTCTGAACCAACATTCATCTTGCGTCCATGCTCTCTTTGGTGTTTGGAACAGCCTATCACTATTATGATTGATCTTTTGCTGGTACATCTTGAAAACTTCTACACCAGGCCCGTACATCCTCTGATCAGAAAAGTCTACATCTCCCTGCTTGCTTCCACCCTGATGGTTTTTTGTTGCTTCAGTTTTCGAAATAGTGACATATTCCTTTCCGTCTGGGTCTTCTCTGATGACGAAATGATCTTTCCTCATCTGAGCCCAACCTTCTCGACCTCTTCTCCCGAAGAAAAAGCAGAGATAGAACCATGTAGCCTGCAGGAGGATGGTTGGATTTGACGCGAAATCCGAGAGGTAGTCACCCAAGCGCTTCATATCGTCCTCTGTGATAGCAGCCTTATCGCCCGACAAAAGTCACGTTATTTGTATTATTGTCACTTATCTAGTTCATAATTAACCATTTTCTCAATAGCTTGCTGTAGTCAAATCTTCTGGAGGTCGGTCAGCAAGTTCGTAGTGCGCGAGAATGTAAAATACTGGTTATTGTTAAGCACGTGACTTTTCGGGAATTTAGGGCGAGCACTCACGACTAGAGTATATAAGGCAGGTCAGAGCGAACGGTGCATCCAAGGGTGCATCATTTTCGGTTTAGCTTCTGAGGTAATAATAGCTCTGTCTCCTTTGCGCGTGGAAACGCCAGATGGATAGCGAAAAAACGGAGCGTGAATTAATAGAGCTGGAAAGAAGTGTTGTACCTGACAACACATCGAAGGCCACTCAGTATGGGATGAAGAAATTTATTGAATGGCTTGCATTGAGAGACCATGCATGCGATTTTGGAACAGTTACTCATGAAGAACTGTGTAGTTTACTAAGAAGGTTCTACGCTGAAGTGAAGGCGAAGAAAGCGGGGGAAACTCTAACGCCCAGTACACTGACCTGCATTCGTGCGGCCATCCATCGCTGCCTGACCAGCGCTCCACATAGCAGACCGATCAACATCATAACCGATAGAGAGTTTATTGCAGCAAACAGCATTTTTGACGCTCGCTGCAAACTGTACGTAAAGGCAGGCAACCCCAAGCCTCAGCATAAGGCTGCTATCACAGAGGACGATATGAAGCGCTTGGGTGACTACCTCTCGGATTTCGCGTCAAATCCAACCATCCTCCTGCAGGCTACATGGTTCTATCTCTGCTTTTTCTTCGGGAGAAGAGGTCGAGAAGGTTGGGCTCAGATGAGGAAAGATCATTTCGTCATCAGAGAAGACCCAGACGGAAAGGAATATGTCACTATTTCGAAAACTGAAGCAACAAAAAACCATCAGGGTGGAAGCAAGCAGGGAGATGTAGACTTTTCTGATCAGAGGATGTACGGGCCTGGTGTAGAAGTTTTCAAGATGTACCAGCAAAAGATCAATCATAATAGTGATAGGCTGTTCCAAACACCAAAGAGAGCATGGACGCAAGATGAATGTTGGTTCAGAAACGAAGCAATGGGGAAGAACAGCCTGTCAACAATCATGCAGAGGATAGCTGATAGCGCTAAGCTATCACAACGCTATACATGTCATAGCGTTCGTGCCACCACCGTCACGACATTGCATCAAGCTGGAGTGGCAGCTGAAGATATCGTTAAAGTAACAAAACACAAAAGGACCGCAAGCCTTTCACATTACATT